CAAATATATGTGTGTAAGGCAAAATTTTGCCCAAATATTACCTTTTACTAAAAATTGTGTAAATATAATTTTATATGCACAATAAAAATACGTTTTTTATTCCACAATACCTCAATTTGTGCATAAATTGTTTTAAAATTCACCCGAGGGTTCAAAAAAATATGACTTGTCATTAAAATCTGGGCTTCAGTGATAACTGCAAAGGACGAAGTAAAAATTGGTCACCAAAGAGCGAGCATTGATAGAATGTGTACAGTTCTGTTTCTCACAAGTTCCCCAGATAAGCCATACTATTCTGTAATCGGGACTTTTGGAATATAGCGAAGTATGCCCGCCAAAGTTGAAACATTTGCCCTAAACGACTAGATGGCCATCGTATGCGAGTCATGTGTTTAACATGTCCTTTATGGTTAGACATCGGCGTAGTATCGTCGGTTACCAATATGGGTGTGTGTTAGCCCCCTCAATTGATTACAAAGGTGGCAAGCACTTGTTTTAAGTATGTTCAAATGTTACATAGTAATGTTATCAAAGATGTAGTAATAACTAGGTGAATTTTGATGAAATGCCATTTTTTCTTTTCAATTTAGAACATTGCCGTTTAGTATAGAAATTCATTTTATGTTAAGACGAAACGACCCAATTTTATACGTCAATTTTTGCATTTTTCGTCGATTTCTACTGATACGTCATATTTTACCTTTTAACGTCATTTCAATGCATTTTTTCTGATTTTATCGATTTTAATGTTTTAATGGTACCTGCTTCAAACAATATTTACGAGATGCAATAAATGTTCACTACAGAATTCTTGAGGAGCATATTCGATTTCTTCGCTCATGTATTAAAATGTCAGCCGTTGTGAGTACTAGGTAGTCTTTAGTTCCTGTGACGTCTATCGGCGCCATTGTCAGTTCGACTGATTGCGTGGTAAATAAAGGCAGAGATTTTCTTGTAAATAACAGTCCAAACCAAACGTTTGCAAGCTGAGTTCACTTGAACAGTGGGACGAAACCTCGATTACGTCAATAACATACACAACAGCTTGAGTTGCACATCTGAAGTGGTTTTTAATAAAATATTTAATGTAATATTTGTTTGCTTTTAGGGCATCTCTAAAGCGTTTTAAGAGCAATGTATTAATTTTGCCCCCTAATAATACCACACCTTTACATTTATTTGATATACTTCTGATTACTATTGTAACCAACGTACGAGTGCCCCGACTGATTACCTGGTTACCCGACCGAGCGTTGCCCCGGCGTTTTTAGACTTTTTGGAATGCGTGCGTGATAGGGCTTTTTCCATGCTAAAATGCATTAAAACACATGACTGTTTTTAAGTGGTTTTACTATCCATTCCATGACCGAGGTGAGGCCTCTCGTTATAAATATGTCTTTCTCTTAAAACTAAATTAACCTAACTTACGTATGGCCCATTCAGGCCAGAGTTAGCCCTTTCAGGCAGGACGGCGCCCCCCCCCCCGGCGTCCATGACCTCGGTGGCGCAAGCAGCGGTCCTTTCCCCTGGCCGTCTGGTGAAGCGCGGTCAGGCGGCACCACAGGCTTGGCTTCCCGCCGCGGGTCGTCGGCTGGATTGCGTCAAGGCCCCACGGGTGCCCATGGACCCCACGGGTGTTCCAACTCACCTGATTACCTGGCTCCTGATTGCCTCCTCCTCGCCCCTTCGCAAGGCAGTCAGAACAGCGGGTGGCGTCCCGGGCGTTAGCAACGCCTGATCCGGGCGTCGGTGGCGTGGCTCACGGCAAGTGGTTGCGCCTCGGCCCGTCATGAGTCCTGGGCTCGAGTTCAGGCGCTCACACAGCCATTGCCCGGTGTTCGTCCTGGCTCGAGCGACACCGGAGCGGTCAGTGACGTTGCGGCGATGCATGCGGGCTGTATGCGGGCGGTAGAGGCGCGGCAGCGGCGTGGCAGCGGCGTGGCGTCTCGTGCGCGGCAATGCCCTTTAGCGGCGCGCGGCAGCGCTTTCAGCGGCGTTCGCCTGCGACGAAAAAAACTTTCTACCCTCGCCTCCTTCATTAGACTGACCTTCCATCCTCGCCTCCTACATTCGAATGCACTTTTCTCCCTCGCCTTGCATTGTCCATTACAATAACTGAGGGTTCTGCCAACCGAGGTAATAACTCTTCTTTCATCCACTTTGGGAACGTTTCTGCTCTCATAGTTCCATGATATTCATCTACTTCTTTTGTCTTTGATAGAAACAATAGTTCTGCATCTTTGATGAAACCATTTCACCTCCTGCATGTAAGACTATATACTTTTTACCTTCACCTAAATTTTTGCTTGAGCAGTTCTCCTTATTTTTATCTTGCCATGACCGAGAGGCTGAACCGAAAGTATAGATTGTTAAAAACCATTAGTAAAGATGGCCTACCAAAATAAAATCATATTAAACTACTATGTAGGTTCTTCAAATGGGACAAACAATATTCAACATACACATAAAAGTCATTACATACACTGATATAACTGCCTTCTCCGTTCACTTATATCTAGAATTTCATAATTTTCAACACTTCAAAATTTAGTAGATTTATTGCTCCTCTTTTGAATAAAGTCTCATCCAAAAACCCAAATTCATAACCTTCAGCCTTCAGTTTCATATATTCCATCAAAAAATCAGATCTTACAATAACAATATCATTTCTTTCCATTAGTGACCTGCGATTATCCGTCTTTTTCCATTTAAACCTCATGGCACGAAGATAAGACATAATAGTTCTCCCCGTAAACCCTATATCACTATCATGTTTAACTGCAGTTAAAATTGAATCCAGAGTAAGGCTGGCTTCCCACGGCGCGACCGCAGCGCGCTTCCTTCAAGGAGCAGAGCTCTTCCGACGCCGCCACCGCCGCAGCCACCGCCGCACCGCCGCACCGCCGCACCGCCGCCTGTCGTGCAAGGGGGTGGGGGTCTGGAGGGGTAGGTTTCGCCGACCCTCCGGCGACGACGAACGAAGGGACCGGAGCAGGTAGAACGTTGCGGCCGCGGCGCAGTGGGAACGCTCCCATTTAAAGCTGTGCTCTGCTAGCGGTGGCGCGTGGCCCCTCCTCCGCTTCGCGTAGCTGGAGTTCGGCGTCGGCTGCCGCAGCAGCCGCCACCCGTTGCACGTGGGAAGGCCTCCATTCGAACCAATGCTCTGCTACGCGCCGCGCTGCTGCGAAGCGCGCCGCGGCCGCGCCGTGGGAAGGGGCCCTAACACGTCCTAAGAAAATTGTTGTATTATACAAAACAACATAGGAACTCGCTTACATGAAAATATGAGTAAATTACTTACCATTCCCAACCATTGAATAAATTATGCGCCTAATCAAGCCCTGTCCAAATTCATCCACCCCATCCCCATCATATGTTTTGTTTCCTTCTATTCTTGGACACTTCCTTTTTGGCGTCTTGAGAAGTATCAGGGTCTTGCTTCCAATATCTGTGAAAATAAATCCAACATTATCCAAAACAATTTCACTTTTGTTATAATTTTTCTTTTGAAGAATGTGAGTTTTCAGTCTCAATACATAGGCAGTTTTGTCAATAACTTATAAAGTTTCTATATTACCTCGCATCATCAGCTCGTCCACAAATCTTGCAATAAAAAAAATGTCTTCTTGGCCCTGATGCTGCGTCACTTCTCCCTTCTGCGGTAAACTCATAGCTAAAGTTGCTCAAAAAGTATTAATATTTTCCATAAACTATATTAAATGTTATTACAAAAATAAATATCTACTATAAGGAATAAAGTAATTAAAATTCAAGTAATTACAAATTAAATATTTTATAAATAGCTTTTGTTATTAAATTGTTAATTTAACTTATTAGCATATTAATGTTACATCTAATATTTCAATGAATTAAATATAATATAAAAATGAAAGAAATAATGGAAATTCTCCGAAATATATGGAGTGAAATCTTTCAGGTCTACTCTCTGCTGTGTCACCAATCTCACTAAGGTTCAGCAGGTTCAGAAGAAGGGCTCGACCAGCGCCTCTGGGGGTGGCATGCAAAAACACACAAAACAGTGATAAACACGCTAAACGGTCCTTGAAACTCGGGCAAAAGGCCCGCCCTGGGTCCGCCAACAAAAGAGAAGGCCCGTTAGCTTACACCTGTCTTTTCTGCAATGAACTCTCCAAATTCTAACTGAACACAGTACACGTAAATTATTAGCTTTTCAAATAGTAATCTTGAACATAGTTTCAGAATACTTCAACAGTATTTTACCACTATAATAAAAATATTTTTCATTGAACTTTCTCGTCTGTCGGAATGACAAAACATTAGGTTGTGCCACGTTAGCCAACGTTCGTAAAATGAAATCCATTCATTCCTGTATGTTAATCACCGGGCCACACCCGAGACATGATCCATGTGGTATGGCATCAGTGGCTGTCAAAAAAATGGTCACATGACTGAACGCTGTAGTCTCATTCGGATTTCCCCAAAATCGCTACGCGCACCCCTGGAGAACTGCAGTTAGAACCTATTTCTGGAAATAAAATAATCTTTGAAATACAAAAAAAAACTTATAATTAGTATTAAAGATGTTGAATTATTATCTACTATTCATTAAAATGAATTATTAATGAGTTTTATTTCAACCCCGACAATTTTGGCGGGTTACACCTCTCTTTTTTAAAAATGGTCAGAGGTAATAAAGTGTTGGATAGGAAATAAAAGGTTTCTCAAATGGCAGGATAACATACGCACATACACATTTTCGAAGTTGGAACGCAGTTTTCCTCGGGTTTTGCTCATTATAATTAATTAATTTAATTGAAAAAAAGTAGGTCGACTTTTCTATTTACATCAAGTTGATTATTTATATCTGATGGAAAAATGGGTAAGGAAAGCGCTTCTGGTGGTCACTGACAGAATATCTCAATAAGATTGCGTATTGTCTCGAAAGAGGTTTTACTTGTGGTCATCTTCTGGTTAACTGACCTCCTTCCAAGTCGTCATAGTCGTTTCCAGATCATTTCTTCCATGTTGAAGGACGTAGAAGTCATACTTAGTGACGAAAGTTGTTAAGCAAATGACTGCGTTTTAAATACGTATTGGAGCGAAGGTGCAGTAGAAAATCTTTCGAAATCGGTATGTACTTCTACGTGCTAAATATATTTTTTCGCTTTCTTTCGTTTTTAATGGAAAATGTTTAAAAGAATGGGAGACGAATTGTCAGTGAGTAAATTATTCACACTTTCATCTTTGTCTACTGGCGATTGCTTTCGCCGGTTTACTTAATTATGCGTGGAGTCGAAATTATGTGGGTTTGTCAATGCATTGTATTTACATTGTATTTAAATTATTTTTTACTTCAGATTCAGTTCTTTGACTGTGGTTCAGTTTTTCACTTCTGTAAACTTTTTTTTGGTGAAAAAATATATATGAAGTACAGGAGTAATTTTTTTAAAAATAATTAATGTTATCTTCTTTGTATGAATTTGAAGGTGAATTGAAAATATCTTCAAAATTTAGAAAATGTAACCTGACCTTACATGTTAATGTTATGGAGGGATCACAGGATAAAATAATGTCAGTGTTTCGTATTTATTACCGAATTCTTCACATTCTTACAGTACTATGATTTTCCTGAAAATGACCTGAGAATGCTTCCCAATATTGTTGAAACAGTAGTTGAGCGTCATCATTGTTTCTTCTACTTCCTTAAATGGTGTGGTGGGTGTGGCCATGGCCACTCCATTCTCTTGGATTCCTTTGACATATTTGTGGTGATTTTAATCGTATGATGTCATGAAGTCATTGAATTGTGAGCAGAGAAAACAATTTGTATTTAAAACATCTCGACACTAGAAATATGGAAATGGACAATGTTGGAATTGCAAAATATATTAGTACAATTTAATAATTTATTTTATTATTTACTTGAAGTATGTGAAATTATTTGGGAACACATTCCATGTATATTTCAACAATTAAAATCTACAACGTTTAGTGATAGGTGTATCAGCTACTTCATTGTCATTAGTACAATTGTATGGTGTGTATTTTTTATCAGAAATACTTAATTTCTGTATGATATTTTTTTAGAACGAAAATGAAGCTAGACAATTTTTTCATGTAGTGAAATTTTGGTTTATTCACCGCTATATTTCACCTTGTTGTTATAGGAAAAATGGGAAATTTGACATTTTGAACTACAAAGTATGACTGCAATCTTTTTATGGCTACATGTGATTTGTGGAAAGTCTTTGAATCTGTAGAAGTACTGTTAATGGGGAAAAAATGTCATCAAATATTATTCCTTACTGGTATTAATTTTTTTGGTACAGTATAATCCAAAAGTGTTTATTAAATCTTTGTGTTCTAAATAATTAAATTATTTTTTAATCACTTTTTTCTAACAGAGTCCAGAATATTTGGTTATTCTAATCAGAGATCAAACCTTATACTCAAACCCCAAACTCATTACACGTTATAAAATTATGAACTTATTGGTTTAATATTATAAATGGGTTGATAACTTCCTACTAATGGTTCAAAAAATATTAAATTACCTCTAAAAAATTGTACGCCACTTGCAATTGTCAATGAAATATGAATGTGAGGGGGGGTTGAGACACACCAGGTTTTTTCTCGGGGTAAGAGGGCCCACATATAGTGTCTAGCCGGCTTCATGTTTCTTATTAAGATATGCTAAATATTAGATGAAGTTTTGTATCTTGATTTATAGCTAAGATTGATAACTTATTAATTGATGTATTTAATGACTTTCGTTATTGTAAAAAAGTAGTATAATCTACATTTTTGAATAAGTATCATGAGGGGGTGTATGAGAGGGGAGTGTTCCATAAGCCCCCCCGGATGAGCCACTGCACAGGTGCAAAGAAACATTATGGCCATGAATAGAAAATAAACATTTGCATAAAAATTAAATTATAATCAATGTATGGGTAGCAGATATCAAGTTACAAATATTAGAGACTGTACTATTTAAACTAGGGCTAAGCCCTTAAGATTCAGAAATTTCAACATGTAGCGTTGTTAATAAAATGTATGAAATGTAAAGTAAGAAAAGTAATGTAAGAAAAAAATATTTAAATATTCTATGCGAAGATTGAGCAATGTCCCTGCTTACAGATACCATTCATTTAATGCAAGACCGTTCTAACAAAAAAAATTATGAAAAAATTTAAAAAATCATTATTTATGTTTATTTATGGTGTTTGATGAATCATCTTTTAAAGTTTTATCTGAGCATGTGTCAAATTTTTTACTTCAAACTCAAAACGTGTTGCATTAAAGAAATTGTCTGAAATTATTGCCACAAATGCATCAAAAACTTTCATTCAAGGAGTTTTAAAACCTTAAATAACAATTTATTGATAGTTCTTCAGTATCTGTTGTGTGTGTGTAAAAAAACCTATTTTCTTTACTTTTGAAATAGGATCTTCATCAGGTGTGAAAATCCTTAGGTTAGGACACAAATAGTTCGAAAACTTGTTTTTACCTCAGGATTATCGGTTTAACCTGTGATGAAGACCCTAAACCAGCATGATTTGAAATGCCCTCCATGTTCAGAAACTCTTTTAATGTCGGGGTGACTAGTTTTTCTTTTAAATAATAATGTCTAATTTTTATAAGCTGTTTAAACATCACATTAATTACATTTTTATGATAATGATAATATTGATAATTTTGTGATGATGGTGATGCCGATGATGATGATAATAATGGTGGTGATGATGATAATGATACTAATAATACATTTGTCACATAAGTACTGCATAAGCCATGTGTAACAAGTCAGGATGTGAACATAATCATATAACGTACATTACAGGTATTTGTAAAAATTACGTAATGGAACTTGTGGTTGTGGAGTTAACCAATGTTCACTAAGCATAATATTATTAAGTGTTGGTCTTGTTCAAGTAATATTTCTAAATTTGTGACTTTGTTTCTTAAAGACTGAACATTTTGATGTAGTACAATTGATATTTGTTTTTGTGTGTTGTGAGCCTTCCTGTTAAGTGTAGTTGCTACAGGTAATGGGCAATTAAAATTGGGGGTACAGAAAATAAAAGTTGTACTTTGATGATTTGGTGATGAGGATTTGGACTAGAGGAAGTTGGAGTAGGTGTGAGAGCGACAGGTGTGGCCGTTGGGATAGGATCATGAAATGGTGGTGGTGGGTGGGTAGAGATGGAGGCGGTAGTGGGAGATAGGTGGAGATGGTGGGATAGGTGTGGGATGAGGTGGGTAGTTGTGAAGATGGAAAAGACCTCAATACTTGTGTTAACATGGCTCAAAGTTTCTGCTTGCCTACCTGATTTAGGTGGAGACCATGCTTTGTAAATAAGTTTCTAGAGAGACTGTCAATATATCTTGAAGAGTGTAGTTGGTGTCTTCCTCAGGTGATGTTTTAAATGTTTATTTGCCATTTTAATTTCATTGTTTGTGGTAATGTTGTTGTGCCAGGGGGGAGGGAGAGTACTCATGACATTAGTGTGAGTGTCAGTCTCTGGAATTGTTGGTAGATGTTCTTCCCGGTCAACCCTTCTTTAGTCGCCTCACGGAGATTACCTGGGCCTCTTTGTTTGCTTGACATTTTGTTGAGAACCAGAATGGCCGCATTGTTCTCAGTATCTTTCTTTGAACATCTTTGAAGTCGATTGGGAGATGCGCAGTGATGCGAGTTAAATCCTCGACTGTAACAACGTATGTCTTAACCCCGTGCGCTGACCCGGAGATTATCTCTGTGATGCGACCGTCGTCGAATGTTCTCGTTAGAATGCAGCGCTACTTGGAGCGTTTGTTTGTAGTTTTATCATGCAAAATGGTCAAAGATGAGGAGCAATTCAGAAAACGATTTTGGAGGTGCTAGATGAAAGCACTGAAAGGAAAATTTTGTACCTCATGCCATACTGTCTTGCAAGTGAAAGATAAAATGCAATGTAAAAACCATAGTAGGTGCATGGAATCTCCTTTTTCCTGATTCATTACTAGAGAAAATACTAACGTACACAAATCGGTGGATACACGAAAACCGATCAAACCGGAGTTGTGAAAAGGACGCGGGACCCACTATAATAATAATAATAATAATAATAATAATAATAATAATAATAATAATAATAATAATAATAATATAATCTAATAATTATAAAATAACAATAATATAATAATTATAATTATTATTATTGTTTGTTTTTTCCTACCATCAGTTTTATTTATTTAACACCAAAAACAGATAAAACTGTATTATGTACTATAGGAAGATGTGCAAATGTGCGATGTTTCTTTAGCTGTGGTTCTTTTTGTTATCTTCTGAAAGGAAAAAATAAAAATAGCTGAAATACAACCACTGATCATTTATAGGTTTTATTTTACTTCACATCGGTAGAAGATAAAATTCATTACATGATACATCCTGAGAGACGCAATTTAGAACTATTCTATACGATTTGCATATTGTCAGACAAGAACCAAATTTCATCGAAGGGCAGATCAGCCCGAATCTGAAATATCTAATATAGAAGGTTCTCTTGAAGCGTATATGTATATATAAAAACTAGAAATATTTTTCAACTAGTAGAATTCCACTGTTATAAATTAATTATATTGAGAAGATTTAGTGTGGACTTTTCTATGGCACTAAGTATGCAGAATTGGAGAAGTAGGTGAGAAGAGCGCTTCTGGCGGTCATTGACAGAAGAGCGCAATGAGATATTGCGTGGTCTCTCAAGAGGTTGTTCTTGTGGTCAACTTGTGGTTTACGACCTCGAACGTTCTCGAAGACGTCGTCGTCGTCGTCGTCGTCGTCTGGTCGTATCTTCCGGTGTTGTATGTCCTGGTCTTCGTACTTGGTGACAAAGGTGCCGAAACAAATGTCTAGCTTTCAAATAAGTTTGGAAACATCTGTGTAGTAGAAGATTAATCACATTTGGTACGTACTTTCAAGTATAAAATTATTCGTTGTCATTCTAATGAGAAATGTTAAAATGTGTAAGTCGAGGTGCCAGTGGGGAAACTACTGTATCCCCACTTTTCTTTGTCCAGTGGCGATTTGTTGCGATTTTTACAATACCGTGCCTGCAGATATTATCTGGGTTTGTCGACATATTAATTTTTTTTTTTTACTTCAAAACTTTACTTTTTTGGGTACTGGGAACAGTATTTTTTTCTTCTGTGAACCATTTGCGGCGGAAAAGTAGAGGAAATCAGGCCAGGTATATATTTTTTATAATCAATTTTTTTGACTTTTATAATTAATGTTTATAGGTTTTTGAAATTAATGTTTGTATGACTTTGAAGGTGAATTTAAAATCTTCAAAATTAGAAAATGTAACCTGACCTTACATTAACAAAAGTTGATGTTATGTAGGGATCAGAGAACTCTAAATATAATGTCAATGTTTCTTATGTATTTCTGAATCCTTCACATTTAGTTACAGTATTATTACTTTCTGAAAACTTCCTGTGAATACTTCATGATAATGTGGAAATTGTTGTCGAGTGTCATGTTACAAATTTTCATATGTGATTTACTTTCATGGTTTGATGGGTGTGGTCAGGGCCACTATACTTCTTTGACTTTGGAAACCTTTAGTGTATTTGTGATCGATTTTAATTGAATAATGTCATCGACTCGTTGAGTGGTGAGCAGAGCAAAAAAACAACTGAAATATGGAAATGCACATCCCTGCAATTACAAAACATTTGTATAGTGTATTTAATAATTTGATTTATTATTTTCTTTGAAATTCATGTAATTATTTGTGAACACTTCGTATACATATCTCGGCAATTATGTTCTACAGTGCTTAGGTGTATCACCTTACTTTTTCCCTTTTTTCTCATTAGAACCATTGGTGCTACCAGAAATGCCTAATTTGTTTATGATATTGTTTTGAAATGAAATTGAAGCCAGACAATTGTGCATGTGGTGAAATTTGGATGAATATTTTCTTTGTTTCCCTTTTGTGATTTTTATTTTCAGTGCTGAATTTCACTGTGTAAAATTGGAAATAAATATTTATTTTCTCTAACATTTTCGACAAGAAATGTGGCTCAATATTTTATGGCCAAGTGCAGAGAGAATTAAAAATCATTGAAGTTGGAGTGGTAATGGGTAAAAGAATCTACTCCAGATGTCATTTCATTGTCGGAATTAATGCTTATGGTGTTGTGCTACTCAAAAGTATTAAATATCTTTTGTATTCTCATGAAGTATATTATTTTCTGTACTCTTACTTTATGAAAAAATGAGTGGTGACCAAAATATCGTTGGAAAAAAAAGTGTCTACAAAGATCCTTTGCAGATTGTGGGGGTAAATGTAATAAGACCAATTTGCATCACTATTGAATTGCAAACAATACATTCATTGTAGCTGTCAAGTTATAAATATTTAAGGTGTTGCACTACGTATGATTAATACAAAGACCTTAGAGTTAATAAATTCTGATGTATTGGAAATAAATCTGTTCCGTTGCATTTCTATTGAATTAAATATGCAAATAAATGACTCATGAAAAAATGCTACTGATACTTTTACAGAGAGTTGAAAACGTCTTGGGTGATGTGGATGTTCAATTCAATAAGATTCACAAATTTCTCAAAATATAAATATACTCTTACCATCTCATGTAATGTGCAATTTGTTACAAGTTTTTCTGTTTTATACATATAGTATGTTAAAACGTGGTTAACAACATAAAACTATCTGCAGGTAATGTAAAATAAAACTTTGTGTTGAAGGATTAGGCCAATGGTGTTCTTTCTTAAAGTTGTGGACATACTTTTTTGTCATAAACACATGTTCATGAAATTGGAACCATCATCTAGAATGTAAACTTCCCTCAAATAGTAATTAAAAATGTGATTGACATTTTAAATTGATTGTAATTTGTAATTTCGTTTGCTTTTCATTATTTTAATTTGGTTCTGAGATATGCCATACAGACTAATTAGTGATTTTCACATTTCAGACTAAATGTAAACTGAGTAAAATGAGTCAACCGTCTCAATTTGCAAATCTATGGGATTCCAGTCCTCCAAAGATTCCCAATATTGTACAAAATGAGGAGGAAAATCCATTATTTCCTGAAATTGATCCAACGGATCCATTGGATCCCTCAGATGCAGCACTTCAAGGCATAGTCAATCATTGGCTTGGATTGGCAAACACAGGAGATCTAAAAGCTGCAGAATTTGGACGAACATGGCGTATATATGTACCAGATATATACACACCATTTCGAAACCAATCCTCAAGGATTCCTGCTAGGAGTAGAAGGGTAAGCCTTCTTTAATTTCTCACTGTTCTTTTATGTTGACAATTTCATTGTTCTACTCGATTGTAATTATTATAGTCTCATTATTTTTTTCTTCATTATCCTCATTCAAGGCCTCAGTTAAACTTAGTTATTTTTCTTAGAAATTATAGATAGTCATGACCTGTTGATGCTACTGTTTTCTTGTCAATTTACGAGTGCATACTGTATTTGAAATTGTATAAGATACTTTTTTTCTTCAGTGAGTCATCAAAAAACAGCATGTCTTGTACAACAGTTTGGAATGTTTGTAAATGCTTTTATGTTTCGTATACAGTGTTTCAAAACATCAATTGTTTTACACTGTTACTGTCAAAGTAATATTCAACTGTCTAAATGTTTGTTGTAAAAATTGCTAGAATATTGTAATTCAGTAGCAGAGGGCTTGGTTTTATCTGCTGAGAATGAGTCTAGAATCAATTATAGTATATGTTGCGTCTGAGATAATTGATTCTCTCGCCAAGAGTTGTGCAAGCCCATTTTCGGAAATAATGTCTTGGTATCGAATTTATTCTTATTGCAAATAAAGTTCCTCAGTTGCTGCTCACAATGAGTGAGAAGCGAATGTCTAATAAGGATGCATACAAGTTAAAAGTTGTTAAATAGGGTAATCGTGCAGCAGAATGGAAGTTTGGCTCACCACCTACTGAGAAAACTATGTGACTGACATAAAGATAAGGAAGTAAAATTTCTTTCTCTGAAAAATAAATATAGTTTTCGTGGGAAGAAACCTCAGTCACTAGATGTTGAAAAAGATCTGTTTGATTGCGTTTTGGAGAACAGAAAAACAGCAAATTGTATTTCCACAAAATTGATTATTACAGAAGTTAAAGTCTTGCAAGAAGAAAGCATGCGGAAAATGTTATTGGGTCAGTGCCATGATGTAGAAGATTTATGAAATGGCTTGGTCTTTTCATACATACTAGAACTAGAGGCTCGTGGCAAAATAGGATGATAAGATCATTGTTTTCACTGGTACATTATTCTAACAACAAAAAAGACACCCTTAGAAATGCAGTACACTGCAAACTTGGATGAAGTCCCTCTTATGATTGATGTTCCAGAAAATAAAACTGTTGACCAAAATGCTGTAAAAAATAATAATAATAAAACTACTGGACATGAAACAACATCCTTCACTGTTACCTACGGAAACTGCCATTTTTCTTTTCTTAAAGATGTTGCTTCATCAATGGACCAAAATGAAACGGTCATTGGAATATTTTTAGATCTTTCGAATGCTTTTGACGTTATTGACCGTAACATCTTGCTATCAAAATTACCTTCTTATGGAATTCGTGGTATCGCTCTAGATTGGATAACCTCGTACCTTCAACATCTATCTCAAAGAGTAGGAATACCGTAATGGTACGAAAGGACATTATTTACTAATCTTTCCAATTCTTTACCAATAGAATATGGGGTTCTGCAAGGCTTCTCTTAGGTACTATCCTCTTTCTGTTATATGTAAAAGATGTGCCATCGTCTATTAAAAACGGAAGAACGGTTCTGTTTGCCAGTGACACAAATGTTCTTTGTAAAGAAGAAACGATAAATAGTACGATTTTAGAAGTTTCAAATTGGTTTGGTAATAACAAATTAATAGTCAATGAAGGAAAAACGGTTTCAATGCATTTTTGCCTTTCAAATCAGCAATCGCATGCTCCATTGAAAATGAATAATATGCAATTAGCTGATATTCAGGTAATAAAATTTCTAGGTCTCTCAATTCAGTCATTCCTCAAATGGAATGTACATATAACAAAATTAAACACTAAGTTAAGTTCGTGATGTTAATCATTCAGAATTCTATCAAATTCTGTCAGCCTTCATGCAGCTCGTTGCGTGTAGTTTGCAAATGTACATTCCTGTCTGAGATATGATATAATATTCTCGGGAAACTCATCATGTAGTACTCAGACCTTTGGATGGCAAAAGAAAATTATTTGAATAATGAAAAATGCCATCTGCATTACCCATGCAAGCTTCTTTTCATTCAACTTGGAATCGTACCACTGCGTTGCCTATATATTTATGATTCGTAATATTTGTCAAAAGTGACTCACTTAATGCTGGGAACATATTTTAATGCAATACGATATTTATAATTATAACATACATCGTAAAAATCACATTCTTCATGTATCGGTATCAACAGCTTACTATCAGAAATCCACATACAATACAAGTGTGTTAGTTTACAACGCATTGCCAGATGGCAATAAACAATTGAAGTGTGTTCACATATTTAAGTCAAAAGTAAAATCTTTTTTGCTTCATAACTGTTTCTATACAATTAGAGACTATACTGATTATCAAAAAGAAAAATGTGTATTTTAACAAAACAGTGATATATAATGAATTAGTTTACATTTGTATTGTATATTTCTTTTAAAAAGACTTAATATGTTTGTAACAAAAAATGTACTTCAGCTTCCGGGTCAATGACCCCATCTCGAGGTTTTTGTCCAGTTTTCCTAATCCATTGAGCAAATGCTGAGATGGCCCCTTGTTTTGCTTCTGGACGTAAATGTAGCTTCACTATGCGCATGTTTTGTTGAACTTTCCTTTTGCTTGTAATAGTAAAAGTAGAGGTAAGGGCGAGTACTATTTAGTTAGCAATGCAGAAAAATCATTCTTGCAATTTGTGTACCAATGCAAATAAGTTTTCTATAACTCTGAAAAGAAAATGACTATTTTTTAAAATATTGTTAATCTTGCGATTTTTAAAATTTATTTTCTTTTATTTATGTTAATCTTTCAAATATTTATAGTTAAAATGTCAGGAAGGGATTCTGGAACTCAAGAAAACGTGCACAGATAATCTTCTACCCCCTACATCACATAGAGTTTTTACTGTTTTTTGACTAAATAAATCTAAATCTACCCTGGCCTGCTGTGTAGATGGTACAAATCTGCCTCCGTTTTTGATTTTCAAGAGAAAACCTTCAACCAAGGAAAAGCTGCCAACAGGTGTTCACATTCATATGCACCAAAAAGGATCCATGTACGAAAAAGGTTTGAAGATATGACAATAAAGCACAGAGAATAAGACCGAGATATCTTAAAAAAAACAGCTTCGTTAGTTTGGAATTAATCTCTTGCATATTTGACCGATTTCATAAAAAAATTAACAAAAATCAAAACTGAAATTGCAGTTATTCCGGCAGGACTCATCTGTCAATTAAAGGCACTAATAAATAAATAAATAAATACATAATTAATATAATATAAATAATGCCTTTGTAAGCGTATACACACGTGGAATGCAGTAAGTGGATGATTTCACCTGGACAAGAAAAAAACACCTGGGGAAAACTGAAATGTTCGCCCATAACTCAGGTCTGTAAATGGGTCAAAACTTCATAGAACAATGTTGACTCCAAAAATATTGTGAATTCTTTCAAGAAGTGTGGCTTCAGCAATTCTTTAGATGGAACTGAAGATGATTTATTGTTAGAAAACGGCTCAAATTGTTAAAGTGACAGTGACTCCAAACAGGACTGTTACTGTGTAAGAGGCAGCAAGATTCTTATACTGTGTAAGCAATAATTTACTATTTCAGTTAAGGTTAAGTGAATTAATGATGTAGCAACATGTAGTAGCTACTGTTATGTACTGGCTATTTTGATCTTTTTCATGTAATCTTTTAATATTCATCTTTTTAAATCACTGATTTAGCTATAAAATGCATGTTTACTGTATTAAAAACAAAACCAAACATTCCTTTCTAAAATAAAATTCCTACTCCATTCATGAAATTAAAAATCAAGCATGGAATTTAACATTAAAGACTGGAAATCCTTCTTGAAAACAGGGGTGTTTCTTACACACCAGTGCGTGTTATACTCTCGCAAATATGGTATATGTTCATGATAGGTATTGGTAATCTGAATGAAAAGGGTGTAATTTTACTAACACCTTATTTTACTTAACACTCGTGTAAACAAGAAGTATGGCATAAAATTAATTTAATTCTATGAATTCTTGAAGAAAAAAAATCTTGATTGGTTGGTGGTAATTAAAACCATAACTAATAAATTGATACTAAATTTCAAGACATTTTATATATAATTTTTTAATTAGAGTTACAAAGTAAGTATAAACTGGTAAGACAATAATTGATTCAAAACTAGTGATGCTAAATCAGCAAGTTCTTTCTCGCCTTTAGTAATAGTTATACCACAATTTCTCACCAAATTAACACATTTCAGTCATAATTTTCTGAAAAAATTATTACAAAACGTACAACATATGCTGAAAAAACTAAATATTTCCAAGCAAATATCAACACAAATTTGACAATTATAACTAGTTTTCATACAGCTATAACATGTCCCATTAAGGATACCTAATTCACAGAAATTCTGCTACTGATTTGCGGCGTGGAATTTTATTGTGGCATTCCAATCTGGTATACCGTGAAGGCTAGTAATTTTTATTTCATAAATTCCAAATAAGTTTTAAATCATTTTTAAAAAATCGTGTAAATATATAAGAGAAATTTGAATGTAAGGAACAAAGAAATATGAAATAATATATAAGTTCTAACTTACAAAGCATGAAACTGCCTGAAATTTCGTTAACGGCGCAGTAAATTCGAAGCGAGCGATTACGTTTGTCGCCAAATTACACAAAAAGGCTCATGGTTTCAAAAATTCTACATGAGTTTATTTGAAGATCTGTTTTCGATAAATACAATTTTTTTCTAAGCGAAATGTATCGTCACAATTGTAATTGTACGAAGACGAACATTTTTTAAAACTTCGAAAAATAAAGCATTTCAACGAACATTAGACCTGCACCTTTCTCGTAAACGACATACACTATCTTAAGGAGTAAAGTCAATTAAAATAATATGGGCTTTCGAAGAATAATTTTGTTCAAAGAAAATAAAAAATACCTGTTTGACACAAGTTTTTCATGAACACAATTCTTTAAGTAAAAATGTTTATCTTCATAATTGTAATTAAAAATTACACGTCAATTAAAAATGACGTCAAAAAATTGATTTTTTCGATTTTCGAAAAATCGGGGGTTTCAACGTACATTAGGCTTGCGCCGTTCTCTTAAACGTCCTTCACATTATCCAATAACAAAATTTAATAAAAAACTGAGCCATTTTCTTTTTATTTTGAAAATGTCCCACAGGCCTTTATGTAAAGTACCCCTCAAAATTAAAATGTCTTTGAAATTCAAGGGGCCGCGCCATCAGCCAGATCGATTGAGGAATATCAATTTTGGAGTAAAATCTGCTTAACGGTTTTGCCACTAGCGTTACCCACAAAACAATACGTCCACACACGTGTTGGACGTTTCCCCCCAAATTTTGTCTACTGGATTTATCCACATTTTCGTTACCAGGGTTATGTAATAAGTTTTCCTGCCGAAAATTCGTATTTTTTGCGTAGAATTACGTAATGAATAAAATACTACTACTAGTACTATTGCATCTACTACTAGTACAACTGCAACTGCTACCAATACTACTGAGACTGATACCAGTACTCCTGCAACACCACTACAATTTCCTCTACGAAGACGACGGCTACCACCGCCACCACTACGTCAGCGACCGCCACTACTACTGCCACTGCTACTTCGTCGACAGGTTAACATTCCGAAATAATGTTGACCTGTCAGTTGCTCACTGGGACAATGTGGCATAAATGGCTTCATATTTCAATAACTATACTCTTTGGTCTTATCTAAATTCCGAAATCAACCGGTGAACCGTGACATGCATTTGTCTCGTAGTAGAATTCGAACTGATGGAGCAGTCAGTGGTCGTTAATAATCACTGACAGAGTTCAAGCATACTACCCTGGTTAACCTCATCGAATACTAAAACTGCGGGCTGAAGGCGAGGAGATTGTTTTAGAGAGCGGGAATGCTAGCTTGGTTGCCGTGCTAAGGGAAGCTTATGACGATAGCACCATGTCCAACAGTATGGTTTACCGCTGGCACATGATGTTTCGAGAGGGCAGAGAGGACGCCTAGGATGAAGACCGCTCTGGACGCCCGTCAACGTCAGATTCCGATCAAAATGTGAAGAAAGTGAGGGACATGCTGAACTCTAATCGACCCCTGATTGTTAGAATGCTGGCAGGTGAGTGTAATATCCCTAAAAGTACTGTGCATCGCATTGTTACTGAAGATTTGGGCATGCGGAAGATCTGTGCGAGGATGGTCCCCAAGGTGCTTTCCGATGAACAGAAGGCTGCTCGTGCAAGGATTTCGCGTGACCTCTTGGAGCAGTGTGAAAATGATCCGATTTTTTTGGATAATGTGATAATGGGTGACGAGACATGGGTTTTCGAGTATGCCCCGGAGACCAAAAGACAATGCTGAGTGGCACACGCCAGCTTCCCCGCGCCCAAAAAGGCGAGAATGAGCAAGTCCCGGGCAAAGGCCATGCGCATCGTGTTTTTCGACAAGAGGCATTGTCCACTCAGTTTGTGCCACAAGGACAAACAGTGAACAGTCATTTTTACTTGCAAGTCCTGAAAATGCTCCAAAGCAGAGTGGGAGATCAGTCAGGAAGGAGATCGCCAGCACTTGGCGTTTCCACCATGACAATGCGCAGTCGCACACCTACTTCATTATTAGAGTTTGCTTAGCAAAACGCGGTGTGGCAACATTGCCCCAGCCGCCGTACAGCCTCGACTTGGCACCACTGGACTTCTTTTTGTTCCCGAGGATCAAGAAGGAACTCAAAGGCCACCATTTCGGGACTTCGGAAGCCGTCAAAGAAGCAACGACGAGGTGCTTGAAGGAGGTCCCCGTCGACGCCTACCAGGGTGCGTTCAGCGACTGGGAAAAACGCTGGCGCAGGTGTTCTGACGCGGAAGGAAGCTACTTTGAAGAATTTTAGTTACTTGTATATTTGACATTGTTTGACAGACATTGTTTATAAGTCAGTATTAGTTTTGAGGTTATGGAAGAGTTGTTTGTTGTTATTAGCTTTTATGGAAATTCTACAGGGGAAGAAATTTTCACAGTACAAAAATATCGTATTTAAGTACAATCTCTATTTGTCCCAACTAAAATAGTCACTACCGATGGAAGGAATATGTGTGGCACAAAAAGTGGTATTTGGGGGGAACAATGCAGAATGTGAAACCAAAAGATTTAGTAAACACATGGCAACACAGTGTTCTCCGTAAATAGGCACTATGTGGAAAATCAGTGGACATATCTTCTGTAATGATGCCTGTGATTTTTAGTGACATTTTTATCCGCTCACGTGGACTACAAAATCGTTAACTCTGTACCCTGCGTGTAATTTACCAAGCACTGAAAATGATTCTCAGTTCTCACTTTCATTTTGATTAGAAATACTTTCAGAACGGAAAATGCATTTCAAAAATAGTTTCAATGACTTTGATAGCTCTAGAGACATATTTTGAAAATCTTGTTGTCATATACAAGTCCCGGTAGCTTTAATAATGAAAATAATTTAGTTTGAAGCTAATGAAGCTGATGAAGCAGGACAAATTCCAAGAAAGAAATTTGATTGAATTCTACAAAATTTCTCAACTTTCTACTCAACAGCTTCTTTCTCTTTTCTACTCAATTTGCAAAAATCGAGTGAGATGTGAAGGTAAAAGGATCAGAAAATCATATAATGCATATAATATATATGATTACCAACTTTTATTAATATTTGTTTAACATTTTCGAGTGCGTATTGGTTTATGAAAACACAGAATGCCTATTTTCTTTAGGTGATGCTGTTTTTTAGCACTACTATATTTTCAAAGTACATATGTAGCTTAAGTGATGAACATTTGAGGTACATGTGTGTATAATTTAATTTTCGGTTCTCAAGGCTCTTCAAACATTCCTAACTGGCTCCAATGGAAGACAGTTTGGAAACCCCTGTTCTAGATTATAGCGGGACCTCTGGCCTCCGCTGTAAACTCGCCTGCTCTTCTCTGACGCAGGAACAGATGTGATTGCTCTGACGCAGGTCCCGGCGATGAGAGATTTTAAACACTTAACTACTTTGCCGGGTCGAGTCCAACCACTGTCTGAAGGAGAATTCTCGCTGCCGGCTGCTGTGATGTGTTGTTTGTTTTCCGTTGTTTCTGCGATCAGCAGGGGAATACCAGAGCAAGAATTCTCGGCTATCCGGGAGACGCCGCGTCGTTGGCTGGGGTGCCGACGTTTCGCCTGACATGTCGCAGGCTTCCTCACTGCCCTGAGGAAGCCTGCGACATGTCAGGCGAAACGTCGGCACCCCAGCCACCGACGCGGCGTCTCCCGGATAGCCGAGAATTCATAGATTCGAGCCGCGGAAGCTTACGTATACATCTGACTAATACCAGAGCAATACCCCAGCAAAGGAGCTACGAACCATGCGCAATAATCCCCCTAAAACACGGTGCTTCGTCACTCGTTTCTGATGTAGGACCGCACTTATCTACTGTTACTAATTCCTTTTTTACATTTTTGTACTGTTTTATTGTTTTATTTCTCGTAAGAAACAAGTTCCTTTAAAAGTTTCACGAATAACTATGATATTATCATTAAAGAATTGCTATCAGTATCAAATAAAGGCTTCATTGTAGAATAAGACTTCCCCTTTCCCTGGCCCACTCACAGCTCGAAATCAGTTTCAATCAGTTTCCAACCCTAAGATTGTCAGCTCTGAAGACTGTTCGCAACAAACATGTGAGGCTTCCTTTCTAAAATTGGTATTAAAAATGAATCTTCACTAGAAATAGCTTTTTTGAAAACTTGTAGGTAATTTTACAAAATGGATAAACTTCCCCGGAGAGTCACTACATACCAGTAGAAAGAGACATCTTCTGTTCGATCTCATAAAATATCTTAACTTAAAAAAACTGTTAATTTGTTGGTAAATGTTCATCATCTAGATCTCAACTTAGATTAATGTTATATTTTAGGAATTAAGATGAAATGTATTATTTCATTAGACATGAAGATGGGGGGTTGCGAAAGCTCTCGAAACATTGGAAGACGTGAAAAACATAGTATTAAGTTTAAATTTGAATTGTTATGAAATAAAATAATTAGATAAAAAATGCCTGCTGTCTAAAACTTTTAAGGCGATATGTTTCTTATGAGAAATATTACCATTACTACCTCACATTGGAAGGGCGGTGCCTCGCTGTGGGCTATACAGGAAGGGGGAACCCTCAGAAGATGACCTGCAGGTCTGCGCTGGATCACTCGTTCCAGAGGGGGATTACAACCGCCACATTCTGTATATACGTGTACTTCACTTATCGGACGAATGTCTAAAATAGAGACGTGCCCGAGAACACTCAGTTCTCACTCACTTGATGTTTGTATGCACATTTTGGTCATTATTTCCGATTACTATATCCCAGGCGTGCGCGGTGTTTTCAATCTGGATGAGATTGACCCACACGTCAAATAGCGGGGAATTTCACGCCCCAGGTATCTCCCCTAGTGAGGCACCGCCTCAGCTTGGAAAGCTGTAGGCTCGGAGGCGCTGCAAGTCAACGGCGTTAACTGGCTCTGAGCTGGCTCCCTGTGGCGCAGGTGCTGATAGACCCTCTGGAGTGCTTCATCAGCGGCGGCACCACCTTCTGGTCGCGCTACTCGTTCGCGAAGCTGACGCAGCGCCTGGCGCCCCTGGGCGAGAGCGGCACGTGCGCGCACATCTTCGCCGAGCAGGAGATCGCCTTCAGCTGCCTGGAGTGCGCGCGCGACGCGGCGTGCGTGCTGTGCGCGCGCTGCTTCAGCGAGTCGCCGCACCGCCTGCACTCGTACCGCATGCGCACGTCGTGCGGCGGCGGGCGGTGCGACTGCGGCGACGCGTCGGCGTGGGGCGGGCGCGAGTGGTTCGACGGGAGCGCGTACGTCTGGCCGACGAGGCCGTGGGCGAGGCGGCGACGTGACATGGACAAGAGGACGCGCGGCCGCTGCCGCCGCCGCGGCCAAGAGCAGAACGTGGCGCGGCCGCTGCCGCGTTCACCCGGCAGGGAGCTAGTACCGATCGGGACGGAGAGACGAGGGGGAGTACTCGGGCGAGGGCACGAGCGCGCCGAGAGCGCGGCGAGTACGGGCGCATGCTGCTGACCCCGGGGCGACGTGCGCCGGCACGCGCCCGTGTGGCTGGAGAGCCCGTGCGCCTGCCGCCGCGATGGTGGAGCGCGCGCTGATCGTGATGGACGCGGTGCTGTCGTACGCGCGCGACCTGCGCCCCGAGGAGCTCCGTGGCTGCTGCGCAGCCTGGAGCGCGCCGACGGCCCCGTACGCCAGGCATCTTCAAGCCCTTCTGCCTGGTGATGCTGATGCCGGCCAAACTGCCCGACGCGTCGCGGGTGGGCGTGCGCCTGCCGCTGGCGCACCGCCGCGCGCCCTCCTACCGCCACCGGCTGCTCGCGGGCCTCATGAACTACTGCTGCCGGGAGGGGCGCGCCGTCACGTCGTGCCTCCAAGAGGACGAGTGCCTCCAGCTGAGCGAGGAGCTCTTGCGCACCATCCGCGACTTCCCGGACGCGCCGTCGTGCAGCCTGCAGGTAAGTTGTCGCTTCGTGAGGATGTTCCTGCGGGAGGCGCACGCCGAAGATGCTTGGCTACTTACGGCGCTGTTCTGTGCGCACGCGGTCCATGCCGCTTTGCTTTAAGGCAAACCTGTAGAGGAAAATGTGGCCTTGCGCACTCGGGAAGCTCCCAGCAGCTACGACGTGCGTCGAGGGGTAGCGCGATGTCGCGATGGTTTCTAAATTTTGCTGTTGTGTCGCTCTAGGCCTGATTGATGTACTCGAAGACAGCGACGTCTCCCTTGCAGAATGTTAGTGGTCGTAACCGTCTGTGGATTTAAGGGCTTAATTTTGGCATCTGACTGATAGATTATTAAAAACCTGTAGTAATCTTAAATACCTAACATGTAAACTTGAAGTTTTCCTTCGCTGTTCATTCAAGTATAAGCCTGCAATGTGCTCGTTCTGTGGGGAAACACCATCTAGAATGCGATGCAAACTTCGGTCTTTACCGCGAGCTGAGAGATTTCCTTGGCATGTCCATGCCCTTAAGCATAGTTTACACGGGAAATGCTAGCTGGCCGACCGTCCGCTCGATAAATATATACTCTAGACAGCGCACTCTCCCGCCTTAGTGCCCGCGCGCTTTCAAGCCAACAGAGGAGACAGTAATTGCCCAGCCTAGTCGACGTAAAAGACAGTCTTAACCTTATATTATCATCAAGCTATACCCAATTTTAGGCTTGCAGATGAAAAGTCATCGTAGTTCCTATCCTATCCTTCTCTTTTACTAACCCTTTCAAAAGAGACATAAGTTGCTCGTTCATTCATAAACATATTTGGTCTTCGCGCTCTATTTGGTTTTGTCATTGAAAGCGCACTGGCGCGTACATCTTGTCTGTCCTTCAACCATTTCACGAGGCAGCTCTGTTGATGGTAAAGGGGATGACTATACTTTTTCGCACTGTCGACCAGCTGTCATTGTGGAACGACTTGTAACAACATATCGAAACGCAACGCTGTTGCTGGCTTTATTTAGACGACATAACCGTATCTGAAACTTTTGTAACGCGACATAGTAACATTCCGTTCGTACTCAGCTTTCCAGCGTCATATCCAATAAAAATCGCGGTAGCCGTTGTGCATTCTCTTAGCAAGGTCTGGCTGAACGTGTCGTGACCTGGGTTTCCCCAATACGAAAGATATGAATGGAAAGGCGTGTTAAAGTTATGCATCCATGTCTTGTTGCGATGCGAATTTCGACAATAGCCCGTCGCGATAATTTGTAACGGCGTTGAGTTGGGCGTCGGCGTTACGCTACAGTACGTTGTTACATGTCTGAACCATGTCACCCACCCACTTCGGCGCTTGAACTCGATCGTCGGGAGTGCGTTGCTTGACCCGCGCGCCGTCGCTCGCGTGCGTTGCGCAGGTGGTGCACGGCCACCACGTGGCGCACCAGAACTTCGCCATGGACCTGCTGAAGTGGTTGCGCGCGCTGCTGGTGCGCGTGGACGAGCTGCGCGCCCTGTTCGCCGAGGTGGCGCTGCGCGCCAGGGTGTTCGAGCAGTCGGTGGTGGAGCACGTGCTGACGCGCGAGACGCTGCTGTGGCAGGGCGCGCGCATCGTGTGGCGGGGCCTCTTCTGCGACGCCATCGGGCTCGACGCCAACCGCCAGCCGTTCGCCGAGGTGTTCTTGCGCAGCTACCCGGTGATGCTGCGCAACTACGTGCGCGCCGAGCACCTGCCGTACAGCTACTCGCTCATCTCGCTGTCGGTGCAGTTCTTCGCGATGCCGTCCATGGCGCGCCACCTCATGGAGCACAAGAACGCCATGTACGTGCTGGTGAATGCG